GGAGCCGAGCAGCTGTCAGAGACTTTTGCAGCTCCAATTCCAGCTCTTTGCCTCGTGACACTTACACCTCTGGCTTTGCACCATCCGCTGCCATCTCCTCACCTCTCTCCTCTTTCTCTTTGCTTCAGGTCAGCTGTCATGCTTCGATCTTTGCGCCCAGGAGAGGACTCTGCTACCAGAGTCGTCATTTCCAGCTAGATGCACCTGAACTGAGCAGCTGCCATGGAGACAGGCTGCACAGAGGAGCCTGCCCAGGCGAGGTCGCAGTCGGTGGTCTGCAGGCAACGAGAGGGAAGCGACCAGTGGCGTGAGGAGAATGGGGACCTGCTGTCTGAGCAGGGCAATGCCTCCGTCGCGGCTGCAGAGCCACAGCAGCCTCAGCCACCCCCTGGCAAGCTGAAGAAAACGGCTTTCAAACTGTTTGGAGGGAAGAGGAGCATCTGTACACTGCCCAGTTTCTTTGGAGGAAGAAGCAAAGGCCAAGGGAAAGCAGCCTCTAAAAAGGGCCTCAGCAAATGTAAGACCCACGATGGGCTCAGTGGTGCTGCCTGTGACAAGGGCAGTGTGGTGCAGCTGGAAAGCCCTTTGGAGGGGAGCAGGGACTCCCATCCTTGCCCTTTGCCGAGCTCCCAAAGCGCTCACTTGGCCATAGACACCAGCGCCAAGTTTGATTTTGGCCAGCAGGACAGCTCTCCACCCGGGAGTATCGAGGGCTGTGAGAAAAAGCCCAACGGAGATAAGTCCTCCTTTCCTAGACCCAAAAAAGGCCTGAAAGGGTTTTTTAACAGTATCCGGCGTCACCGGAAGAGCAAGGTTGCTGAGTGTGAGAAAGCAGAGCTCCCCGAGTGGACTGGGGATTCAGAGGAGGCCGGCAAAGCTTCTGGTGCAGGAGTGGAGAGCCAAGGGGCCGCAGAGGGAAGGGGACTGGGACCTGTCCCTCTTGCCAGAGCCTGCCCGGGGAGCTCGGAGGAGGACTGCTCGGTGGGCACAGCTGCCAACTGTGGCGAGGCTGCCGAGCCTGGCTGTCTGACGGTTGATGAAGGCAGCTCTGAGGGTGACACGGTGGCAATGCTGGGGAAGAGGGATATTTTGGATACGAAATCAGAGGCTGAAGCTGTTGTCTGCACAGAGTTTGACCATGGCAATCTCCTGCAGGCCTTTCATCCAGACTTCACGGATGATGACTCTCCCTGCCTACACTCCGGGGACCTGCTAAGCCTCATCTTAGGAGATGTCACCTCCCTGAAGAGCTTCGATTCCCTGACAGGATGTGGAGATGACATTGCTGAGCCTGACATTGCTGAGAACACCATCTCTGTGGAGCGCAGCAGAGATGCTGCTAAACGGAGCTCTTGCCTGGTCACCTACCAGGGTGGTGGGGAGGAGATGGCCATGCCTGAGGAGACAGAGGAGTACCTCCACCAGATATGGAACAGCAGCACAGCCGATGACAGGAGCTACGGAGCCCAGGTCTCGAGTAGCAGTTTGGAGACACATGCCTCGCACGAGGCAGAATCCCACCCCTACATGGGGGATGTGATGGATGGTGTTGACCTCCTGACACCACAGAGTGACCAGCAAGAGTCCGCCCCAAATAGTGACGAGGGTTATTACGACTCCACCACGCCGGGGCCAGAGGATGAAGCCGGAGATGGGCTCAGTGAGATCAAGAAGGACCGTCTTCCCAGAGACAGTTACAGTGGTGATGCACTCTATGAGTTTGACACGCTGATGAGTCCTTCTCATGGGGAGGAATCCCTATTTGAGAGCAAAGTCTCACACCCGATGATCTTCAGCTACTTCTTGGACTTCTGCCTCCCTGCTGAGAAGAGCCTGATCCAGATGATGGATCAGAAAAGAGGGCTGATGGAAACGGAAGAAGAGCGGCTCGCAGCCATTCAGAAAGAGCTGCTGTACTGGGAGCTGCAGAGGGAACCAGTCTTGAAACGACTTGATGTTCCCAGCAAGGAGAAATGTCCCCGGGAAAAGCAGTGCGTTGAATGTAAAACTAGAGCAGTCAGCTCAATGGGCAAGAATCAGAGTGGCCTTGGTAGCGAGCATGTGGCCTCGCACGCCCCAAACAGGGGTGTGAATAATGGGGTTTCGGTGGCTAGAGCTGAAAATCCAGAGTGGAGGGATTTTCCAGCAACTCTGTGTCCAGAAAACTATTACAACAGCCAAAAAGCCCAAGGAGGATGCCTTCTTCAGCTCACAAAGAACAACTCGGGGTTCAATTCGGACCCAGACTGTGGGTTGTTTGGGGGCTCCATCCGTGGCGGTGTAGCCCCAGCCAAAGCAGGGATGTTCCCCGGCTACAGACTCCCAGAGCATGAGTGTGGCAGTGGAGGGGAGACCACCACCAGCAAGCCCCAGCTGGGCAGCGAAGGTGAGTCCGAGCACGCTGTGAGCTTCTCACAAGCGCTGGTGGAGTTCACCAGCAGCGGGACCCTCTTCTCCAGCCTCTCTGAAAGTCTGGGGAGCTCCGCCTCCAGCTCTTCCTTCACCCAGAACCTCCCTGCCCTCCCCACCATGGTCACCTTTGATGTCGTTGATGTAGAGCGAGAAGGAGAAGGAGAGTGCGAGCAGCATCCCGAGATGAACGCTGGTGAGGACATTGCCGAGGCCTTTGATGACGGCTATGGACGGAAAGAGTCGTTGGCTGAATGTGACGAGAGAATGTCCCCGGGGTACCTCCTGGGCTCCTTCCAGAGCGGCAACTGGGTTGTTGCCAGCCTGCCCCGCCACCTGCGCCTCCACGGACTGAGCCCCTCCATGCCAGCACCGCTCTCCATCGACCGGAGGAGCCGGTCGCTTGACACGGAGAGCCTGGAGTTTGAGCTTGCTGACTTGCAGGTTGCCAAGAGCAGCCCTCAGCCGTGCCAGCTCTGGTCAAAGCAGGAGGGTGGCAAAAAGGACTCGGGCGGAGTGAGGAGGAGCAGGAGCAAGGAGGAGGGTGAGCTTGTGGCTCCTGACAGTGGGTTGAGCTGGCCAGGCTTGCAGCACCTCCAACATGACACCGACACGGCTGCTGAGGGGATGAAGCCCTGGGATTTTGCTCCGGCCGCCGTGATGGAGAGTGCCTGGGAGCCATCGGAGCCGACGGGCACCATGTCCCCTTTCCCGTGTCTTTCCCAGAGTGTCACTGGAGAGACTCCGGACAGGCGGCCCCAAGAGCCGGAGCTGCACAGGCACCTGCTCAGACCCTCCAATTTACCTCTGCAGACTAACACGAGGTGGTCCCGGGAGGTGGCTGGTTCTTACAGGTACCATGGAGAAGTCACCGCCAAAAAGCTGTCCCGCTTGTTACCCTTGGGAGAAACTGAGCCCGAGCTGCCCCCAAGCTTTAGTTTTACTTGCTCCCCGGAGAAACGTGCCAAGTGCAAACCCGTCGGCATCGCCCAGGGTGTGCCACAGCACCCCAACGGCAGCACCGACACTGCACAGAGCCCAGAGTGCTGCGGGGAGCCCCTGAAAGGCAGAGCCACCCCCGGCCACGTGCTGCCTGCCGGCTGCCAGAGCGCAGCGCTGAACATCACTGAAGGCAAATAGCTGCTCTGGGCAGGGTGTGAAAAGGGTTGCAAAGTGCAGGGAGGGAGAAAATAAACCTTAGCGAGCAATGTGTGAGTGACTGAAACTTAGACCAGGGCTGATAAGGATGAGCTCCTCTCCCGTGGCCGTGGTACGTGGTCTCGCTGCTGCAGATGCTCTGGGCGGGGTTTGGAGCCGCCTCCGCGATTCGTACGTTAACGCTGAGGCACGTTCCTGTTTTCCAGCACAAGCCACCATGCTCAGTGCTCTCAGCAATGTGCTCATGTTGCTGCTGGAACGAGAGCTGGGAACGGACCCATTGCGAGTGTGGCAAGTTTGGGGTTTTTCTGCAGGACTGGAGCTGGGGGAGCAAGCCTTGGGGAAACTTTTGAGAGAAATTAGGTTTTTTCTTCCTCTTCTTGGTGAAATGTTTTGGTTCAGGCTCACTTTGAATGTCTTCCATCTTGGTCTTGGTTTGGGGAGGCTGGGAAGAAGGACACTGATTATTTGCAGAGCGAGGACGGGAGGCAAGTCAGCTGAAAGGGGAACTTTGCAGTAACATTTTTATTTATTGGGTTTTTTTTCCCTTGCCCCAAAGGAAAGCAGGAGCTTTTGTGCGTGTGCCGATAATGTTTTCCAGGTCTAGTTTTAATTTGCTCAAAAGTACCGCGCCCAGCGAGATGTGTTGTTGATGGTGTCCCTTTTAACAGCAAAGTGTTGGTCCCTTCTTTGTCGTGGTGTCTTCATGGTGCGTAATTCCCAGTTGAAACCTGTCCTGTGCTTTGTCCCACACCCCTTGCCTCTCCCGGGCCATGGGCACACGGATGAGGTCTTTGAAATAAGCTATATTTGCATTGTGCCTGTAGCTGCAAAGTTGTAGATGCTGTTACTTTCTTCAAAAGGAAGTTTTGTGGGTTTGTTGTGTTGGTTTTGGGGTTTTTTTTTTATTATTTTATGGTTTCCTTTGCATAAACTCCTACAAAGGAAAGTATTCTGTTAATTGGAATACAGGATGTAACGCAGCCTAAATTAGGCTTCACGACTTCTTCCTCCTAACTGGAGGGAACAAAAAAGCTGGAGCTTGCTGCAGGTTTTGGATTTCTTTTTCCTCTTTGAAGGAGCGTGGAGGAGGGACATGAGCTGAGGGAGACAGGCTTTGTCTGAGGGGGTTGTACGAGCTGGAAACATCTGTTTCAGGCCGTTGGTCCTCGAGGTGTCTGCCCTGCCCTCTGTGATCTCAAACATGTTTGTCTCTAAACCAAACCTCCCTGTCTGTGACTCACAAAGCTTCTTCCTCCTTCTGTCCAAGCTCTGTATTCTGATTTTAATTCAGTTACCGATGATGGTTTTGGTTTTTCCCCTCCAAATTGCCCATTTTCTGCTTCTCTTCATAGCAGAGTTTGTAGCATTTGAAAAATATAATCACGAACTGGCAATATCAGGGTTTTCTCCCATCTCTGGAGCAAAGTGCGGGGCGAGGGGTGGCTCTGCCCAGCCCTGTCCCGCATTTCCTGCCCACAGTGAGTAGCCCCAGTGCTGCTCTCTCGGCCTGCGGCCCCGTACAGATGTGGCTCTGGTTGGAAGCAGCAGCTCCTGCATCGCTGTGTTACAGGCACAAGCGGCTGGTTTGGATTTGGGTTTTTTTCCCCCCCAAGAAAAACAAGGTCCCGATATTTCTTTTTGAGGAGAGACTCCTTACTACCCTGTCCTTGTGTATCTGTGAAGGAGCAGGGGGAGGCAAAGCCCAGCTTTGCTTGCCCACTGTTCAACTGATTTATGTGATTTTTCTTTCCTGAACAGACTGCTGAGGCTAGAATAGATATACCCATCTGTGTATCCACGGGCCAAAACCTCACTTTGCCAGTATTTTCCTGCCCGTCCTGCTGCAGGGAGTTACTGCAGGAACCCACCGTGCCGTGGGTTTTTTCTCCTGTCCCTCCGTGCAACTGGAGAAGATTTCATGGGACAAACCCGGCTCTTGATGCTGCTCCCGCTCCACAATCCCCACCTGAAGAGGAGAACGCAGTTGGCTAGTGAAAGGTCCCCTCGCCTCCCCGAGGTTGTGAGTGCAGCCTCCCCTCATTAGCACAGCGCCTGAGCGTCTGCTAATGAATATTGCTGAATTGGAACAGGCTCCCCTCTTGCTCAGAGTAAAGACAGGGTCAGGTCTGGGCACTGCACATCTCACCACCACTCACAAAATAAAAACCACAAGCAAAGAGTGCCGGTGACACCGGAGCTGTCACGCAGACAGGCGCTCACACTAATTGCTTGGCCTGAGCAGCAGCCCCTCACTGGTGTTTTAATTAGTTTTATTTTAGCATGTCACCAAAGGCATCTCGCAGGGTCAGGGGGTTTTGCGTAGCATTTTGGTTAGACATGGTGCAGCCTTTACCAAAGTCTTGGTGAGGTGTGGAAGTGTCTTGGTGCTGAAATGAATGTTCAGTTGCAAATGCATGTCTGTAGAAATAATTCTTTTGGTTGTAGGTACGTCATGGATACTGCTTCTAGAGTTGAATGTGTGAAAGCAATACAGCCAAGACTTGATAATCTGACTTTATACCAAAGGTTTCTCTTAATTTGTTGTGAATTAAATGAAGCAAATATCTCTTGATTTTAAATGAGTTTCCTAAAAGCATATTTGGAGCTAATTTGCTGGATTATTGGCATATTCTGCCCCATTAACCTAAAGAAATAAGAATTTTCAATGTGCTAACCCAGCCTGTAAATTATCACTGCCATAGAGAGATTGGATTTCAGTGCCTAATATACCACTCTTCCTAAAATACCTGTCTGTCCTGGGATAAAAATACCTGTCTGTCCTGGGATAAACAGGACCAGATCTTCTGGGCTTCATCTGGATCGAGCTGTTAGTCAAATACTGCCTTAACTCAGGAACTCAGTGTTGAGAGCGGTAATTGACGTTTTTTTTATGAAAAAGGGCTTCTGAACCAGAAATAAGTAATAAAAATCAGGAACAGCAGAATGTCTTGCCAAGATATTAAGGGAAAACTCCCCTTGAGGAACTCGCCTGAATACGTCCCTTCCAGGTGGGTCTTTGCCTCAGAGTCATGAATTACGGCCGTTAGTTCGCGCTTAAACCTCTGACGTTCAGGTCAGTCTACCAAGTAATTCTGTATTGCATTTTGGGGACTTTGGGGGGTTTTTTTTGTTTGTTTGTTTTTATACACCTAAGAAAATGATCGATTTTCTCTATTTTTGTATAGTTTTGCATTTTGTATTCGCGGGGAAATTTTACGGACTGTTCTTTTACTCATGTGTGTTGTCTTTTAAAGTGGTGTGGTTTAACTGTGCTGATGGAGAAAAGGCAATTGCTGCTGCTGCTGCTGCTGCTGCTGCCGCTGCCCGTGCAATGCAAGGACCCACCTCGCTCCTCACGTCCTCCCGTAACGTTCCGTTCCACTTTATATCCAGGGCCAGCTCCGAAACGGGGCAGCCGGTCCGTTACCAGCGCACGCGCTCTTTGCACACACCACTGAGACGTCATCGTTTTCATACTCCTTTGTCACACTTGTCAACTCTTATTTCTGTTTTTTTCAAGCTTTGGTTTTGATCTGAATTTGTGGACTTTGGTGATTTCTCCTTGAAAGTGTTGTTGACCCTCTTGTAAACTAGAAAACCGTGGATTTCAGTTGAGGCTTTCCCTTCTCTGTGCTTCAATTATTTTATGCAAAATTAGGGTTTTTCTTAAATCTCCAGGCAGGAGATTGTGTTGGTTGGTGCGTGGTGATGCTCTAGAAACAAATTTCCTCTCCCTTTGGTGCTCCCTGGCTGGGCTGGGAGCTCAGCTTTTGCCTTTGTGCAGGTGGCATTGCCTGCTCCGTGTCTGTGGATTGCTCCTTAAATAATCCTGGGGTCCGCAGGGGGTTAGCGGAGCTTTCCAGCTTCTCCTCCTCTCCTGCCTCTCCCTGTGCCGCCTGCATTGCCAGCGGCAGGAAAGCATCTTCTTGCAATAATACTGCCTTGACTTTTGGGATCAGAAATGCAAGGAGAGCTTCTGGTACGGTGAGAGCCAACACGAGTTATTGTGGCTCTTCTTGCTTTTGTGGTTTATTTAGTTGGATGAATATGCTGCTTTGTTTGCTTGACTCTGTAGGAGTTGTGACCCTGTGGCGTTTGCAACCCTGTGCGGGGTGGAAGGGCTGAAATAACTCCTCTGCAGAAGGCCACGGTGATAAATTGAGCAGGCAAGAACAATGTCAAAACGGTGATGTGCGAAAAGAAAACTAAACGCTGACATGCTAAAAGATTACAGTGAAAGCAAATTTTTTCCCCTTCTTTCCTCCTCTGACAACGCCAGCAGAGATGGCGACTGCCACAGAGACATTTGGCTCTACGGAGATTTTTATGTCTTTTAATTAAATAGCTCTTCACCTAATGGTGCTTTTTAAATGTTTTCTTCAGTGGGTTTGTACCCGTTCCCAGCATGGGGACTGGGTGGGCAGGTTGCCCAGCAAACATTCCTGGGGCGCTTGGAATCCACATTCCCTCTGCCCCTTAATTTTGTGGCTCCCTCCTCTCCAGCTGGGGCTACCTGCTCTGCTCACCCGTATTGAGTCATCGTGGAAGCTACACTTGGGTGAAGTGATAAATTAAAATCTCAAAAAGCCTCTTGGTTCTAAAGAAAAAAAAAATCAATGAGTCCTTGTCCCAGGTGGCCCCCGTGCCGTCCCGCTGCGGACAGGCTGCAGAGCTGCTCTGCAGGCGTCCCAGGAGCGGGGGCGGCTCCTCCCAGGTGACCAACTTGTTTGAATTTTGGGGTTTTGTTTTGGTTTTTTTTTCATTTTCTTTCTGGTCTCATTGCTACTAGTCCTTTAAACTTTTTAATGTATGGATTGTGTTTTCAAATGAATGTTCCTTTCACTGAATTCTAATGAATAAACTTCAGATTTTTAGAGAACATCAGATTTCACTCATGGTTTGTTTCTTCCCCTCTGGCCTATTTTATGCTCGATTTAATCTTTTTCTTTTCCCTCCCCTCCTATCTCTTGATTATTTGC